GGAGGAATTGGTTGCTCATCAACATTCAAGTTTCCAATATTAGACGGATGTGACAAATTCTCATGAGGATTCACACTAGAACTCACATTATCTCTTTTTGTTCTTTTCACAAACCTATCTAAAGATCCTCTTAAAGTATCTACAACTTGTTCATCATGTTTTGTTTTCTTCCGTTTATCATTTCCACACAAAACCATGATACAAAAAGAACGATGTCACCTGATGTAAATTGTGCGCAAAGGAAAAAACTTGTATAAACAATACTATCACCAACACGTGCTAGAAAAATCACTGCATCCACATAAAATCCAGAGAAAAAAATTAGAAGAGATTTAACAACAAATAATAAAATACAAACTAATATAATTTGTAATCAATCGATCTGTTTAATCTAATATTAAACAAAAGTCAAACATACCTCGAATTCAAGAATGAATCACACTCAAATTGGTGAAGAAGATTATTTGGTTTTGGAATCTGATCGCCGACTTCTTTCTTTTTGTCAAATAGAGAGAAAAGTATAAGACAAATAAAAAACACAAAGGATCAAATATAGAATTCCCTTTCCAACACAAATTAGGGTTAAATCTATCATGGGCCCTTCTATTTTATATTTAATCAATCATCATGAGCCTTTTTGTTTATTTAACTTCATCGATGGGCCTTTTATGTATTTATAAACCAATTAAATTGTTAATTAAGTGGAATAAAAAAAAATTAGTAATGCAAGTAACTAAAAAAATTGGACCCTTGGGTCCAGGACCACCGCCCCTCTCGCCATGCCTAAGAGCCGGGACTGCCTCTAGCACGTAATCTTGGAACATTTGAGCAAACATCGCGGTTGTAGCTGTAAGAATATTTATATTCTTATGTGACCTATGTGTCTTTCGGTTTAATTATTAAAGATCAAATTCATATTAAAGTTAAGGATTCTAATATTAAAGACGACACCGTGATGGACCGGTCTCGATTAATGCATTAGANTTTGGGTGTATTGATAACCCTCCTCCCTTACCTTATTATATTACAAAGGCCTTTCTCTAATATGTGTATATATATTGCATCTGTAAGTTAATAAAGTAATAACTACATTTGGATGATGCTTCATATATAAAATATAAGTGGCGGTTACTTAAGTGGTGGTTACGTGGAAGTGTTGTCATGAACCATCACCACTAATTAAAATCTATAAAAGCCTCACATGAAGTAACGTAATTATAGACATTCTTTTCCGCAAGGGAGTAGAACATTGATCGAAACAAAACATATAGAGAAAGGAGTTGATTCATTCTCCATCAAAAGGAATCGTAAGGAGTGAAAGGTCAAAGGGANGAAGAAATCAATTGGTGAATTGATTCCATTTCAAACAAATCAAGCAATGGATCAAGGTTAGTCTTTCTTCTTCTCCAAGAAAGTGTTTGTGATTGAGTTAAAATCAAACTAGATAATCTTGGGATAGATTTTATAAATGAAATCATTAGGAATATGTTTAACATTTGGTATCAGAGCCAATCTAGATTTGTTTAATTCATCACTATTAAACCTACGGCATTACGGTTGAAACTATGAACATTCGTTATCGCTAGTAGTTTTGAAATGAATCTCTTGCTTTCNGCTGTTAATTGGAAATTGTTTTTCGGTTGATTTTCAATTGATTTTGTTTGATTGCGTCGGTTTCATACGCATACGGTGTTGTGTATGAACATGAAAGTGANGACGGTTCATGTGCATTCATAAAACGGTGCATTAAGTCAAAGTAACGATAGAATAATTATAAATGCCGTAGGATTGTACAGAATATTGTGGCATGATAAAGAATTATATTCGTGCATGGATTCATGATTAGGTGCATTCGTAATTGTTGTTGTATGCATGAATTGTTAACCGCCGATTAATTTAAATGGCTCGCATGGTTTTATGGCACACTTGAACGTATAATATTTTATAAGTTAAAAATACTGGTAATAAAATTAAGATGTTTCCGCTGTTTGATTAAAAGTATGGTAATTGTGTTATGAAATATTAATACAATATAAAGAAATTTTACCCGATTAAATTTTAATGTTTATATTGTATATGACATGTTAGTCACCAAGTGGCCTTGTTATATTATATATAAACATTGAAAACTAAAATTTTTATTAATTGATCAAGATTAAAGAGATGCTATAAATGACATAAAAGTTTTATTGATCAATTATGTTATTATCTATATCTTTGGAGATCACCCAAANGTGGATCATTAGATATANG